TTTATCATACATTTTTATTTGAAATTTATCGATCTAAAATTTCCAACACAACTGCCTACTTTTATGTAAACATAAAGTCTAGTTTGAAAAACATAACTTTAGAATTCTTGTCCGTTTTGTTTATGCAACTATTTTTTATGTTAGCCAATGATATCCATAATAATCTCTTTCTGTGGCCAACATAACGTGAAGTTTGTTTTTCACAAAAACCAAACAAAATAAATGTTGATTATATAGCTTAAAAACGGATTTTTTAAATTATAGCTATTTTTGCAGATGGGTTGGATTTTTTGTTTATAATCTAAAAAAGTAGAATTTTCTAACCAATTAAAAGTTGCTTTATCATAAATTTATTTTTGATTTATTTTATCAAATACTTTTTGCAGTTTATAAAAAAATTATTTGTTTATAGATTTTAAATTGATTTCATGTCAATTGAAGTTTAGCTTTGTAGCAAAACAAAAAAAAAAAAAAAAAAACAAATTTCCGCTTAAATTAACATGTATGTTTTGCTATCAGGTTTTTTTACTTTAATTTATGTTATAACATATTTATGTCAATAAATTGTTGTTTGCGCTAATTGGAAATATTTGCGTTGCTAGAACTTTTTTGTGATGGGGGTGACCTTGTAGAATTTGAAGGAAGGTCAAAACTGAAATAAATCCGAAATAAATTAATTAAATTAATCAGAACCTTATATATGTTTATTAAATTTATTTTTGAATGATTTTCAAATTAGTGCCTAGATTATTTACATGGTAGATATTATAGTCGTTACATGTATGCTGAATTATATCAGGTTATAGGTTACAGCATAGTCTAAAATTCAAAAATCGATTCCAGCATAGGTGCAGCGCAGTAAAAAAGGACAATTTCAGAAGTTCCCTCCACATCATTCTCTTCATTTTTCGAACTGTAGCAGTGATCATTGCCTGTTATTTTATGATTATTGGCATGGTAACGAACAGAGTCCTGGCAGGTTCCGCCAGTTACTTTCTGGAGTTCGATGGAATGGAAGGATGGAGCACAATTACCTTTATTTTGATAGATATTAACTGAAAAAATTACAAAAACAATTTCACCATAAATGTTAAAGTTGCAAAATTAAAAAAATATTACTTTTGTAATTATACCCTCAGCCATATGACTACATTTAATGCGGCCAAAATGTGCCTAATCGAAATAACGGTTTTATGCCCTAGTTCCCTTTAGACCAAATTCGTTTTAGGACATTTGGAGTCTATCTATGGGTGTCCGTCTGAAGGGATACAAACTTGGTGCATCTCAATATTATTTCCAACTTAGATCGAGTTTGGAGATAGCTAATATCGGTGCACTCCTTCTGGTACCTTCCCCATAAAAGGTAAATGTTTTAACACACAGAACATGAAAGGATCATACAATTTTGTGCAAAATATGTAAATACCAATATTTGTATCAGTGCTATATCATGTGTGACAAAAGGACAATATCGGCCCACTCCATCATGTGCCTCCCACACAAAGGGATCAACATTTTAAAATCAGAACGATCATAAAATGCGAAAAGAGCATCTTGGTACATCCAAAAAAATTTATCAAACTAAGACTAGGTGTAAAGATAGAATATGTCGGGCCCTCCTTCAGATACCTCCTTCACAACGGGTCAAATTTTTGAAATAAGCATCCGATTCTTCTCAAATTGTAAACATAGAAACATTTTTAAAAACAGAAAATCTGATGTGAAGATTGTATATACAGGGTTGCCCATATTCGACGGACCCATCTGGCAACGCCATAACTTTTGACAGAGATGTCACATCGTTTAATGACATACCGCGTTTGAAGCGTCAGTCCAAGCAGATTTTTACTATGAACCAAAACACGCCACGCGAGCGCTCTGAAATAGTTGAAATTTACAAGAAGTCAATTGTGAAAACTCTACGTGCTTTTAAAGCATTAAAAATGTGAGAAGTGCGCCTTCTAAGAACACCATTTTCGACTGGAAAGGCTCTTTCTAATCCGAAGAGGCCATATAAAAGTCGACCAAGGCGATCGGCCGAGAATATCGCTGCCGTACGAGCCAGTGTTGAGAGGTCCCCAAGAACACCCCAAAAACGCCATTCTCAGCAGTTGGGCATGGCTCGGTCCACTTTACAACGGATTATTCGAATTGATTTGCATTTGTTCCCGTACAAAATTCAATTGATGCAAAGAATGTTGCCTGAGGACAAGCCTCGTCGATTGGAATGGGCCCAAAGGTCCGTCGAATATGGGCAACCCTGTACAAGGTGAAATGAAACAATGGAACAAATTTCAGACTGCTGTCATTTCTAACCCTCTCGTCCGACAGCTGTTAAATTTACACCAGTGATAGCTCATTATATTGTTAACAAGCGTACAAGAGCATTTTGGTAAGAATTTTCCAGAAGTGTGATAGTGTGATTTCTATATATTTGGCTGGAAAACCACAAGTGGCTATCGTCAGAGCATGTTAGAGCATTTAAATGAGAATAAATCTTCTGTGTCTCGTACCATCGCTCATTACCATGATACTGGTAGCGTAGCCCGACGTCAAGGAAGTCAATGGAAGAAAACAGCAACATCAGCAGAAATGGTTCGAAAAGTAAAGAAGTGACTTGATCGAAACCCGCGTCGCAGTGGCTGAAAAATGGCTCGTAAGCTGAACATATCACGAACATATGAACATATTCGGCATATATTGGAAAATGAACTCGATTTAAAGCCATTGAAATCCAAAAAAGAACTTACATCGTAACAGAAAGAAAATAGACTCAAAAGAGCTAAAGAGTTACTTCGCTTGGCCGAGAATGATGAACGACCGATTTGGATTTTCTCCGATGAGGAAACATTCGTTGTCCAACAGTTTGTAAAAAAAACAAAATGATAGTATTTATTTGCCAAAGAGGTCAGCTGAAAATGTGCACCTTCGGTTGGCCATCAGAACTCCAGCGCCGGCCATAGTGATGGTGTGGGCCGCTTTAACAGCCAATTGTCGCTCTCCTCTCGTATTAATCGACCGTGGTATCAGAATAAATGCCGAGTATTATCCCGAAAATATTCTGGAGGGTGTATTGAAGCCGTGGGCACGCAAAAATTTTGCCCGCAAGAATGGTTACAAAATGAGATTCCTCGCATCGTCAGGTTGGCACAAAAAATCAGAGGCAAATCAGGAATGGGCCAAAATACCGCAGAGCAACATTCGGGTAGCGTGTGATGGTTTCATAGGCTATATGAAGGTCATAATTCGTGCCAAAGGTGACCAATTCGATCAACTCTGAACTGATTCTAAAATGTGATGCTATTTCCGACATTTTTTTGGATCACAATTTTTATACCCTCCACCATACTATGTATATATTAATTTGTCATTCCGTTTGTAACTCCTCGAAATACTCAAGTCAGACCAAACAAAGTTTATATATTCTTGATCAGCGTAAAATTCAAAGACGATTTAGCCATGTCCGTCGGTCTGTCTGTCTGTTGTAATCACACTATCTTTTGAACGAATTGAGATAGAAATCTAAACACATGTTTATTTTGCCAGTAGGCAGGTTAAGTTCGTAATTGGGCCATATAGGGCCACGTTTTCATTTAGCCCCAATACATAGGTACCTCCGGATATTCGATATTTTGGTGATTTTAGTAACATTATTCACCGGAATTGTTTCTAATTTGGTATTGGACATTCATAATGAATACTTCAGCCTAAGACAGAAAATTGTCTGTGCAGTTCCACGTCTTCGTATAGCCCCCATAAAACGGTACCTTCCGGTATTCGGTATTTTGATGATTTTAGCGACATTATTCGCAGTAGTAGTTTCAAATTACGCATTTAGAGTTCGTAATGGGAACTGCAGTCTGTGACAGAAAATTGTCTATGCAGGTCCAGGTCTTCGTAAAGGCCCCATATATCAGCACCTCCACTTATTCGGTATTTTGACGATTTTAGGTACAATACTCACCGAAATTGTTTGAAATGTCGTATTTGAAGTTAGTAATGGAAGCTAAAGCCAGTGACAGGAAATTGTCTATGCAGGTCCAGATCTTCGTATAGCTGTGATATAACGGTATCACCCTATATATGGTATTTTGGTGATTTTAGCTTAATTATTCACCGTTTATTTCAAGTTTCGAATTTAAATATGACAAAGAATGCCTATGTAGGTTCGTGTCGTACAGACCCTAATATAACGGCTATATTCGGTATTTTTAAGATCTTAACAGTATTTTTGGCGGATCTTTTTCGAAAATTTCTAAATTCGTTCCAAATGGTTATGGGTATTCAAAGTTCGGCCCTGCTGAACTTATTGCTTTTTTACTTGTCAATATTTAAATCTCTTATAACTTGCGAAACAAGTCAGTGATTTTATTCAGACTTGATACATCTAAATACTACTTTCAACCTGAGATCTAATGTAAAAAATGGAATTCATAGGCTCTCTCCTTCTAATAACTCCCTCAACATTTTGATTATAGATGGAGTGGAATACATCCGCCAACTCCTTCTGGCACCTTTCAACGTTTTCCAAAAAGGAGCACATCTAAAGTGGAGGAAATATTCGATATTTGTCACGTTGTAATAATTATATTAGACTTCTATCTGATACGAAATGTATAATATTTGCCAACTCCTTTGGAACAAACCCCCCCACCCACAAAGGATTCCGATTTTTTAATATTTATAAGGATGTCGAAATATATTTAAATAAACCAACAAAATCTGAGGTTATACATCTGTCGGCAAAACCAACTGATACTTTTCAACTAGTTTTTTTTTAAGACTTGAGTAACTTCACGCCAAATTTACAACAATATCAAGTAAAATAATGAATCTAAATATAAGAATAAATCACTTCGCAATTTCAATAATTAATTTTTAATCCAATTAAATTACAATTTATATTTCCAATGACAAAGTCCTACCTCCTATGGCTATAGCGTATAGCAACCAACTAAAATCTCATTATTTACTATTCATTGTTCTGTTTTTACCCACAGGTCGTCCCGAACCCATAGTTACGTGGATGAATGGCTCCCAACAATTGGAATCCGGCAATGGTGTATCTATGGGACGTCACGTTACAGTCAATCGTTTAGAAGTCCCACACATAACACGTTCAGCGCTGAACAACACCTACCGTTGCCAGGCGTCGAATACGAAATTAGTGCCACCAGTGGAGCGTAGTATACGTATTGATATGTTGCGTAAGTAGTTGTTCCGATTTTGGCCTACAAACTTGTCAATCAGACCAAAAAAAAAAAAAACAGATCTGCAAAAGCATATATACTACTGGTAAAGTAGTATAGGTGACTGGCTAAATAAATGTTGCTGTGGTGTTGGAACGCCATCACACATTTCATTACAATATGACATTGATGGTCGGCATAATGATTTGGGGCAAGGACATGCATACAATTTTCTTGGTATTGTTATTTAAATTTTCTTTGCTTTAATTTTGTGAAAATTTCCACCAGAAATTGTTTTATTTTTCTTTGGTTAGGATTGCTTACAATGTGCATATATTGCGTGTCAAGCGCATGTTATGCGTGATTGCATTTACAAAAGAGGTTTCCATTAATATTCCGTTTAAAAATGCATGCATTTTTTATTCTTACTTTTTACATGTATGTCTACGCGGTTTTATGTATGTCCATTGCCACTAGATGTGACTAACGATAAAATTATGATTTAATTAAGAAAAAATGCTAGCATTTGCAGAAAAATAAAATTATGTATTTTTAATATTTCCCCAAACTATTTTCAGTTAAACCAACATCGGTTAGCCTAACGAATAAGCTGAAGGTGTTTTCCACCGGAGTCCAGTACAATTTGACATGTATAGTCGAGGGTTCAGTGCCGGATACGGAAATTAAATGGACACAAAATAATCGACCTTTTAAAAGAGGAACGGTAAGTTGAAGACAATAAAAAATAAAATTTACCCTCCAACAGTGGGACAACAAATGTAGGATTGAATCGACTCCATGATACCCTAGAAATGTAAATTGATGTCCCAACTTGTAGAATACCAATTTTTTGACAACTTAAAAATTAAAGGTTTTTGCTATATTTTGAATATTTTAAACAATGAATTAAATTACAGTGCACTATTGACAAAGAAAAGGTTATTCGCAAGGTATTTTAACATTGCAAAGCTGAGCTCTATTGTGTTTAAATGGGGGCATTTTGTAGTTTAAATCCGGAATCACTGGGTTTTTCGTGTGAAAAGTACATAAATTGTGCAAGTGTATTTATAGAGCATATAATACGATCATAGGAAAGCTAAATTTTGGAATTAGTTATATCAAATAACATTAAAAAAGCAGTATCTGAACTGGATATTTAAAATTTCTAAAAACTCTAATTTGTCAATGAACATTATTTTCGTCTGACTATTGCAACTATCTAACACATTAGTTTCCACGCACTCTTTTCTAATATCCATTTTTGTATCTCTTACAATTTCCCAGCTCTCAACCTCCCAAGTGAATGGTAAAGTGATATCAACGCTTACCTTTAATCCACAACCCGAAGACGATGGTACTTTACTCAAGTGTGAGGGCTCAAATCCACGTTTACAAAATTCAGCTTTGGAGGATACGCTAATGCTTAATGTTATGTGTAAGTACATAAAAAAATTATAGAATATGTAATAAATAAATACACAAGCCAAAAGAAAGAAAGAAAGAGGAGAAGGAACGGTATAAATGGCAAAAGTTTCCAAAAGTTTTATCTCAAAATTTTTCAACTTTAAACCCACACTGAGACCCTTGTAAATGTTAACAATTTTCGACAATACTTGTCAGCGGTTTTTCCGCTTTTTTATTTGTATGTCATGTATTCCACAGAGACAGAGAGATGCGAAGTAAGAAAACCCAAACGCGGCATGTTTTTAGGCTCTTTTTTTTGCTTTTTTGTATCTTTGCATGGCGATAAAGTTGTCATCGGTAGATGTGAAATCATAAATTTATTGTTATAAAGACTTTGAACATAAATTTTTCTCAGCTGGGGAAAAACTCAGCAATGAGAAAGTAAGGAACAACATCATCGTTCTCCTCATCAACGATATCATCATCAACGTTATCGTGTACTTCAAGTGAGAAGAAGAGAGGAAAGTGAAAACTGTAGCTTCGTTGATGTCTAGATAAATATATTATGAAACATTTCAATTTTATTGTTTTTTCGGCATTCCTCTTGTTTTATACATATATGAAAAAGGAAGAGGAGTGGAAAGTAAAATGAATGCAAACGGCCTCGATAAAGAAATATTGGAAAACAAAACAAAAAAACTTTTTTTAAAAATACAGACATAGAAGTTGTAAATATAAAACGATTTTTGTAAAAAAATATATAAAAAACGTTAAAAGTAATTTTCCAGTTTGGCAGCACATTAAAGTCATTGACAGAAAATGTCTGGACTTAGGCTTAGGGCTATTGTGTGTATGAGTGTTGTTTCCATTAGAGAAAATTTACATCATACGCTCCAATATACACATTTTGGAATCTACTATTCATGAAGGAGTATCTACAATGAAAGTACATTGCATATATTATTAATATAACTATAACTAAAATCAAAAATAACTTAATACAAGATCTATTAAAAAACGTCGACCCATAATGAAATACATTTTCAGCACGAAAGTTTTTTTTTTTAAGTAAAAATTAAAAATACAAAGTTTGACGAAATTGAATTGAAAATATGACGAAAATATAACAAATAGTTGAAACCTCGGTTTATCCTTATGCCAAACATGGGCTGTCGAACATTTTTTTAGACCAATGGTTTTTGAAGTAATGTAAAGCTCTATGTCAGATTTTAAGGCTTGTAATAAATTATAAGAAAATTAAAAAGTGTTGTTTTATAATTTAAAATCGATGAAAATTTTTTTGGTACATATTAATAATTGCTTTTGTTTAGAGACTCAAAATGAGTTTGATGAAGAATATTTATTTTCTTGACACTTCCCCAAAAAATCGTTTATATATATATTTATATATATATATATATATATATATATATATATATATATATATATATATATATATATATATATATATATATATATATATATATATATATATATATATATATATATATATATATATATATATATATAATATATATATATAATATATATATATATATATATATATATATATATATATATATATATATATATATATATATATATATATATATATATATATATATATATATATATATACTCAAAATAAGTTTGATTAAGAATATTTATTTTCTTGACACTTCCCACAAAAGAAAAAAAAATTGTTTATATATACATATAAAATACATAAATGTTATGTTATTAAAGTTATTTTATAACTGTTTCATCAACTATTTTCATCTGTGTATTATATATTTGTGCATATGTTTGTAACATAGAGAGGGAGTTGAAATAGACCCATATTTATTCTTGAGCATCCTCGAGGAATCCCTTTCTGAGTCGATTTAGTGATATTCGCCCATCCACCTGTCTCTTTCTTCATGTAGTTTTATGAACAATCGAAATGAATTCTTGCACAAATTAATTCTTTGGTCCAAAGACGAGCCCTATTGTAAATATTTAGATATTGCTTTTATATATTTGTCCGATTCGTCTTCTTTTGTGCACCAAATATGCATTATTAGCCCAGATTGGTTTGGAGCATGCGACCCGAGCTAAGAAGAAAGTATATTAAATTTGGGGAAAATCGGTTCAAATATTGGTATAGCTCCCATATATATTGTTCATCTAATTTGTTTTCCTTTTTTCCCTAACAGTTGAAAATATCAAAGCTCAGCTCAGATACACCGTTGCCAGATTTTTTCGAGATCGGTTCAGATATGGATTTATTGTCCGATTTTTAGTTTATTGTGCGCCAAATAGTTAATATCAGCCCAAATTTAATAAATTCCAGCACAAATGACCGAATTTAAAATATCAAATTTTATGAAAATCAGTTAAGTATAACTATAGCTCCCATATGTATTATTATTCGATTTCGTGTTTAAGTCTCTTACTCTGTACTCGAAATGATGATATTTGGCCAGTTTTTAAAGACAGCATACAAAATCTTTTGCTATTTTTTATATAGATAAGTTCAGATTTGTATTTATCACCCATTTTGCACCAAATGTGTAATATCAGCTGAAATGGGATAGATTTTGGGGAAAATCGGTTCAAACATAGCTATAGCCCCGATATGTATTTTTCAATCTAAGTGTACTCAAGGTCAAGGGACGCAAATATTTCCATTAAATTTACTGGAAATCGATTGAAAGTGGAATATATTATTAGATTACATTCGTTCCTTTTAGCTTCATATGACCATTATGTAAGATTTAGTTTAGATTAATTGCCTATATAAACGTTTTTTTTTTACGGGTAGCTTTTCTTACTTGTGGCCTTTTTTTACTGGTTAATTGTGTACAATACTTATGGACATATCGGGCAGTGGCTGTCAAAATCGTTCTCCTTCGAACTGAGTCTTATAATACAAAGAAAAATGCTTTGACTAACACGGACACTTCATCGTTTCATTGGATTCTAAAGACTAGATGTCAATAATACGACCGAATCATAAATTTTTGAACCTATTCCTTGTTTGGTTCAGGATGACTGACTGACTTAAGCATGGAAGCGTGGTTGATGGGTTGGTTGATTAAAAATTGTATTTACAGGGAACCGACAAGTCGTAGACATATTGGAGTAGATCTGATAAAAAAAAATTAGCATATGCGAAATTCCAACCATAGCTAAAATTCATTCCGGGGGTGTCGTGAGGGCCACCCATCTTAAAATAATTGGTTGTCCAAAAATATATCTTTTCTGAAACAATTATTTCTATAAAGGCCCTTTATAATGGTTTATATGCCATGTACCTACATTGCTCATAATGAGACAATTCTTAATATTAAAAAAAAAAACAATTAGAAATCAAAGATATTTCCTGCCTAATAAAATTATAAAAATGAGCTTAATCGTACACCTTAACAAGAAACGCTTTTCCGCGTTTAAAATTTTTATAAATTTTAAGCAATATGTCACTATCTGCTACCACACTCAAGTAATTTGACAGTTAAGGACTTGGTGGATAAAAACGCATAAAAGTTGTATATTTTCACATTAATCACTTCCAGCGGTTCCAGCTAATTTTGAAAATACAAGCCCCATTTTGCCAACTCAAAAATATCCAATAATTTTCTATAATTTGAAATTTTGTTATCTTAAAGGAGGGAAGTCTTATGATTGAAAATCTAAGCCAATGTTCCCAACCGATTTTTCGGAATATTTAGTTGTTGGAAGTGGTGTTAATAAGCCTTTATGTGTTTACTTTTAGTTTTTTTTTTTTTTTTTTCAAATTAAAATCAAGGTTATATAAAAAGAATTTTTTGTTTTACAACGAAAAAGAATTTTTCCATGAACACGTGCAAAATCCCAACAAAATTACGTTACTATATGCATCGTCATGTTCCACATTCACTTTTTATCGCAATTCAATCACAATTTTTTTTTATTTTTAAAATTTCCACACTTTTTTTTCAAAAAAAAAAAAAAAAAACAGCGCTTGGCTATTTTGTATTAGATCGCCAACATGATATGCTGTTTTTTACAACTCATGGGGTTTTTGTGTTAGTTGCAAGAAACAAAAAAATAAATTATTAACAAAAATATGGCACGTTGGATGTACTCTCTCTCCCCATGCCATTTTTTTTTTTTTTTTTTTTTTTTTTGAATGATATAGCATGTCCACAGGGTCAACGTAGAGATAACAAAGGAATAGGAAATATTTTCAACACACACGTTTCTATGATGACAAATGTTTGTTCAAATGCCCATACACAAAACTTTGTTATGGAATTTTATGACATTTGAAAAGATCGAGGAAAAAGAGCAAACCTTTTGTATCTCATGTCACCGGAAAATAAAACAAATAATTTCAACTAATGCTGAAAGCAACAGCCAACGAGACGATAGACAGCATCAACTGTATTATATTGTTTGGGAGCTTGTTTCTCATGTTTTGCAAAGTATGCAAAATATGTGTGTATGTTTGTAACTGCAGAAAATTGTATTTTATATAAAGTAAGGCTCATAGCCAGGCATTAGGGAAATACCTAAAAAATAATAAAATGCAAATTAAGCAAAACTTTGTTTTTTTCTGTATTTTTGTAACAAGAACGTCGCCGAAACCAAAAACAATGTAACGTATACAACAAAGCTCATTTAACTTGATTGTATGTGGGTGCGTGCGAAAAACAAACAGCGGGCGGTTATGGAACAAAGTTCAGCTGCTAAAGACAAAAAACCATCACAACAATGTGTAAACTGAAAAAAAAAATCGTTAAATTTATGTATATGAACAAAGTTGTTGCATTTTCTTCCTCTCTTTGTGTGTAGAAAGTTTTTGCTTCAACTTTCATAAATTACGAAACATATACGATATATGGGTAAGCAGGTTAACAAGGGATCAAATAAGGATAAACTGTGACATTGAAATGCGATATCATTCAATTGTTACGATGTTATCTGTAATGGTTAGAAAAAATAATATGTTTTTAAATTGTTCGTAAGTTTATAGAAAATTTTTAATTAGTCTTATAGCTAGAGAGGGTTTTACTGTCACCAATTCAAATATCGATTTAGGACCCCTAATCGTTTTCTAAATGAAATCAACTTTTGGACATTTTAAATCTTTTTTAAATATATCAAGCAATATCCGACCGTTTGTGCCAGATAAAATATTATAGTACCTTCACCACAAATGGTTACATTTTAAATTGTTTGATACACTTTTCCAATAGAATATTTTGAAATTTGGTATTAATGTTCGCAATGACCCCCTAAATAAAGGCACCCCATAATCTTTACAGCCAATTTTTTTAAGGAATTATTTGGAATTCGATATAAAAAATTTTCATATTAATTTGTCCTACTGGACGGAGTAATTTCGAAATTGGTACTTGGCATCGACAATATATGGTGAGATAAAAAAAACTGCAACAAAGCCAAACGCCATAATTTTTTATATATTTTTCTTAAAATTATTGAATGAAAGCAAAACATATCGGAAGTAGCATTAAATTTTAGAATAAGTTTAGATTTGTTCGAATTGGTCAACTTTGACACGAATTATGACCTTCAAACGGAATGGAATGTCCAAGGTCTGCAGCCAAAATGTTTGCGTGTCCAAATATTTAATAATATTTGATGCCACGGTCGATTAATATGAGCGGAGAGCGACCATCGGCTGTTATGGCGGCCCACACCATCACCATGGCTGGCGCTTGAGTTCTGGTAGCCAACCGAAGGTACACATTTTCAGCTGACCTCTTTAACAAGTAAACACGATCATTTTGTTTATTTGCATAATGCTGTTTATTTGCAAAATGCTATTTTCTTTCTGTTGCGGTGTAAGATCTTGTACTTTTTGGAATATCAATGGCTTTACCCCGAGCTCGTTCTTCAATATTTGTCGAATGGAATATTGCGATATGTTCAGCTCACGATCCATTTTTCGGCCACTGCGACGCGTGTTTAGATAAAGTCGCTTCATTATTTTTCGAACCATTTCTGCTGTATTACGGTAACGAGCGATGGTACGAGACATAAAAGATTTATTCACATTTAAACGCTCGAGTGATCTAACTATAGTCACTTGTGGTTTTCCAGCCAAATATAAAGAAATCACACTATCTCGCTTAAATTCCATTACGAATATTTTTTTTTCTGCAAAAATCTCACCAAAAATCTTTTGTACGCTTGTAAACAATATAATGAGGTGTCACTGGAATAACCTTAACAGCTGTCGGACAAGTGTATTAGAAATGACAGCAGTCTGAAGTCGATTGCAGTTTTTTCGTCTCACTCTGTATGTCTATATGTTTCCCGATATTCCGTATTTTGATGGTTGTAGCAAAATTTTTTTGTCTAATTGTCTAAAAATCTACACAATAAGTTCTTTCTAGATACTTCACCAACGGGATAGAATTGTCTATATGGATGCACGATATCGCAAACCACTCATACAACGGTAACCCTCCCAACGGTATTTCTCGCCGAAATGTTCTTAACATTTTGCAAGTTCCTTTCAAACGGTGGAGTGTATTAAGAGTTCGACCCGGCCGAACTTAGCTGCGTTTTTACTTGTTAATTTTCAATTTTATTAAGAACTAATTCTGTAACCTCTCCTCCAAAATTTTTGAATAAAATTTTGCAGTACAAAAAATAATGATGGCGTTTTGAAAGTTGACATCCCAAAATAACCTCAATAGGGGACAGCTTCGAATATTTAATAAAAAATCGAAAATGTTTTCTATTTTCTCATCAATTTTTTCTTTGGTCTTTTTTCGATTATCTGCATAAAAGTAACATAAAACTTCGTTTTGGAGAGATTTCAGAAATCGCAATTCTAACTCTAACGAAATGTGACAAGGCAGAAAGCGAAAGCCAAAACATATCTGTACAGAAAATTCAATAATTCCGATAAAACACCCATAAAGACTTGCAACTTGAAAGCTATGCTCCATGCCGTATACTATTTACTACATATAAGAATGTTTTACTGACCGTCAAGTTATTCTTATTATATACATATAAATATTGCTATAAAAATTATGAAAACTATTATATACATAAACGTATATAAGTTCCCACCATAACATACTCCCCATTCTTTGACATTTCAAAGCTTCTCCAACTTTCCTCAAAGATAAAGTTTTTGACATCAACTCCAATGATTCTATTTGCAATCGTGTCCATTGCTTAAGGATAATTTGAGAGGAAAACTTTAAACGAAAATTTCATATCATTTAGCTAATTAATTTTCTTCCACTGCTGTGAGGGGGTGAAAGAAAATACCGCTTGGACACATGCCCCCACATTTATGCTATATATATTCGCATCACTTTTAGCCCAACAATAATATGAAATGTAACAGATTTTCTTCAAGAACTAACTAACGAAGAGAAAAATTTATAATAAATATTAAACTTAAAAGGAAGGAAGGGTGGGGTTCACATCTGAAAAGGAAAACTTTTCGTTTGGATCGTAAAGGGCTCTTGAGTTGCAATTTTATTACAAGAAGCAGAGGGGGCGTATGTCCCCAAACGTTTATGATACTGCATGGCATAGTCTACAATTCCATCCCCCGTCATAATGATAGTTTTCTGCAACGAAGTATCCCCTCCCTATACTTTAGCCGCCTGCATAGCGGTGCAGTACAGAGTGAAGCTGTTTGTATGTGTTTTGTGGCTAAATTTTAGAAGGGCAAGCAGTTCAACAGAAAGTTTTGCTGTTCTCCGAAGTTAATTACCAAACATAAACAGTTTCGTTTCGTTCGTCCCCTTTGTGAGTCGTTGTTGGAAATATTATTAATATTAAATTTTTACAAACAGAAAAGTTTTTCGTCATCCCAAAAAGGAAATTTGATTACATTTTTGTTGATAAAAAAGTTGGTGAAAAAACGGAGTATAAGTGACAGTTTGCAGTGGCGCGAAACGATTTTAAACAACAGTATTACCCATGACATTGGGTAAGATATTCCAGATCACATGTTTTTTGATCTTTACAAAAATAATTAGCGCTTAAAAATATACTCCCCTTTGGTGGCGTTATGCACTTCACTACCGTAAAACAACTTCTTTCAAGTCCAGCAAAAAAGAATAATCGATATTAAGACGAAGAAGACTCCGGACTTTCGACTCCCACTCTCATTTTTCAAACAGAAAAATTCACGAGCGCTCTTACATGAATCAAAAGAGGGAAGATCACATTTCTCGTATTTTTCATGCACGCATGCTCCCGAAAGTTTTTCAAATATGAGCTATGCCAAAAAAGACGCCATTTCTCAAATTGCGATACCCCTGATACCCTAGTTAAACTCAATTTTTCTGTTGTACTTAGACTTTCAAATCCCTGACCTCACTCTATCCACTGTGGAAATAGATTATAAAACTCAATACGTGTATTAATGCGATTGAATTCTAAACTACCAACACGCACACAAATACACATATATACTTTTGCTTTACTTTGCAATTACTTAACAACTCAACTCTAATAAATGTTTTCTTAGCACCCACGCCACTTTTATGGCACTCAGTCCACCCACACGCGGTAGTAGGTATGTTCACTGGTACTTGGGTTTTATGAGGATTTCCCTGCACACACACCAAGGATGTGAATATAAAGTCCTTTGTCGTGTATCAAAAGTAGATTTAAGCCGACATTGTTGCATTTTCATGTTCGGAGGATTGGTAGTAAATTCACTCTCCAACGCACACACCAGCCAACCAACCAACAGACCGACACAAACAAACAAGTCGCACATATGCAGCTCACAAGAAGTCTTACAAAACCACCCCCTCTCCCACACAATTAAACTGCAAGGACAAGCATCTTGCTATGCACGCATGCAAGAGATAGGAAAGAGAGAGAGAGAAAGGGCGGGTTGTAAGTGCCAGCGACAACTAGCTAAAGCAGCTCTATAAAATTTACGATTATTACAATGTTAACTTGTATGAAAGGGCGTTAATATGCTTATGTATGTGGACGGCTAATGAAACTTGAAAAACAGTCTTTGTTGTTTTTTTTTCTCCCTGCCCCACTGCTAATACTCATTTTCTCCATTGTTGCCATTTTTTACTTGTATTTGTACAGCGCTCATTTTTTGTAGTAGGCTTATAACATAATGAAATTAAGAGGTTGTTGGTAAGTACTTTTAGCCTGGGCCACACATAAATTTGCCCAACAACCACTATAAAGGCCACTCCCGGAAGAGTGCAGTTAGAAGGTATTAAATTTCCGCTAGAATGCATTTTAATTTAATGGCTTTTTAAAAATATGACTACATAACCTTAAGGCTGATGTAGATAAAGTAAATGATTGCCGTTAACATATTGTACAAGGGAATTTTTAAACACATAATATTAAATAAATCTAGACATTTATAAATTGACATCTAAAAGAACATAATAACATATTTATATCTATTTTCTAATCGCTTCCTATATTGTTTTCTTTTTCACCACTTAACATGCGTATAATGGCATTTCCACACTTCTTCTCTTCGATGATTATCAAAATTTGTAACTGTCATCATTGGATTCTGTGAAAACGAATGTGTGAAAATCTACTCTAAATCTACTAAAAATCAAACAAATAATGAACCTCAACCACAACGAAACACCAATGGCAAATCCTGACAAATATTATATAATCAGATCCACCACAAGTGACATTGTCGTTGGGTTCTACGCTTAAGCCGGATGACATTAAGGAAGGCGATGATGTATACTTTGAGTGTCACATAAAGGCAAATCCAAAGGAACATCGAATTACTTGGTCGCACAATGTAAGTAGTATGGGTTGGAAAAATAAAAGCAACATCATGTGTATGTGTGTGTTGTTTTTTTTTTAATATAATAAATACAAAAATTAAATTCTTTTGACAATGTTCCCACACAATATTGTTGGAATATATTGCAAATAATATTCAAAAATAACTAACATATTTCAATGAAAGTAACCAAAAGCATATTAAGAAAAATATAATGGAATTTCTTAAAATTATAAAAAAAAAATTATTATTATATTTTTAAAGAATTTTGCATTACTATAATAAGAAAATTCATTAAGATAAATTCAAAAAGTTAAACATATTCCCAAAACAATTAAAAAAATGTATATAAAATAAATTTATTTATTATGCATGTTTAAAATTTTGTAAAACAAAATTAAATAAAATTTAAAGAACCAATGAAATTCCTTAAAACAATTTCAAATATTGATTTTATATATTACAATTATTATTAAAACTTTCATTCTTTTAGTACATAATTTCCTTTACTCAAAACTATTAAACACATATTTATCAATAAATATATATTTATGTTATTACATATTTACAAATTTGTTTGTTTCCCCTCTTTTTACCGCTCTCTGCACAGGGTGTTCCTGTTACACAAAATGTCTCATGGGGTATTATAATTTCAACGCGTTCATTGGTGTTACAACGTGTGGCTCGCGTCCATGCTGGCCTCTATGCATGCTCCGCAGCTAACGACCGTGGAGAGACCACCAGTGCCATGGTGAATCTAAGGATACGCTGTAAGTACATACAAGAAGACCACAAATTGATTATTATTTCAGTTAAATATCAACCAAATTGAGATATGTGAAAATAATGGAAATTTTAAATTTTATTAAATTATGGTATTAGATTTGTTGGCCACACTTCGCTCATTTATTCAAAATATTCTACTCCAAATAAATCATTGTTTGAAATACTTTAAGTACATCATAAACTTTATATTCGCTTTAGTTATACCCTACAACACTATGTGTTGGGGGTATTATAAGTTTGATTGGGCCAAAAATTATGTAACACCTCGAGACATTGTTTTCCCATATAGGAAAGTATATATGGATATTCCTTTCTTGCCGAGCTGAGTTGAGTTGATCTCCGTCTGTCCATGTTAATTTGTAATCACTCTACAGGTCGCAAATATGGCCCGATCTTTATGAAATTTAGAATGGTGGTCCGGCTAGAGCCAGAATAGAGCTCTATTTCTTTTGGAGATGATCGCATAATTAAATAAATAAATTAAATAATACTTACGGGTTGAAATGGACCAAAAAATGGACTAAATCCTGAAATGTGCAGATATCGAAATAAATCGCTTTCTCTCTTTGCTCAGTATTTGATTTTTATTTTGGGTTTTTTTCAACATTTTTGAACTCATATTTTGAATTTTTTCTCACAAGTTATGTATTATGGATAACAGACGTATGTCACATTTTGCAGGAGTTTTTATTATTATTTTCATCCATTGAGGGGAGGTACCACATATATTCCATCTTGCGTTGTTAGAAATGTTGGGATGTGTTAAATTTGAAGACAATCGGTCTTTTTTCACATTTTATAAATGTTATGATCATTCGAAATTTAAATTTTTTGGAGAAGGCAATAGAAGGAGTGGATTGATATTGTCAATTTCCGCCGCTCTAATATAAATGTTGGTTGATGAATAGTTTGAATAAAATTAGATGATCATTCTTCTTTCTATAAAGTATATTATTTTCTTTCAACATTTTGAACTTGGTAACACAAGTGGTGGACCTATATCCGAACTCGATCTAAGTTTTATACAAATTATACGTGTTGAATGATATATGCCCCCTGTAGGCTGGGGGTATAACAAGTTATACTGTATGTGGACTATCATGCTAAAACATGAAATTATAGCTTTAGAACAACACTCAATACAACTTTATAGCAATATGGAACGAACGAAATAGACCAAAATATACATAAGCATATTTATGACATGAAATGCTTATCTAACGACCTTTGGTAAATGGAAACTATTGATTTTAAAGATATGAGCATGGATCGTACGGAAGAACGAAATAATGCAAGATATGACGAGCAAATAGAAAATGTATTATTAATAATCTAAAAATAAAGAGACCTAACCTTTATATTTAAAACAATGTTTTTATGCAAAAAAGGTCTTCAGATGTACTGGCATGGTCATCTGAAACATAATACAAAGCTGTACAAAAAATTGTGAAAATATTGGCGACAATAGTTAACAAGGAAAAAAAGCAACTTTTTATACCCTCCACCATATGGAAGGAACTTGAAATTTTTCAAATAAAATTCAGAAAACAACCACTTAAGTGAAAACCGTTATTTGGGGTACATACGAAAACGTGTACCTACATACGCAATTGTTTGTCATAGGCTGTAGTACTCATTACGAACTTTGAATACGAAATTTGAAACAGTTCCAGTGGATAAAATCGCTTATATCATGGAAATATCGAATATCCGGAGGTACCGTCATATGGGGGCTTACGAAGACATTTTTTGCTAAGGTTGTTGTACCCATTAAGACTTTCCAATACGAAATTTGAAACGATTCCGATGAATAATTTTGCGAAATCATCAACATACCTGCTTTTGCGGATACCGTTATATAGGAGCTATACGAAGATGTGGGCCTGCATACAAAAATGTTTGCCGTAGGCTGTAGTATGCATTACGAACTTCATATTCGAAGTTTTAATTCCGGTAAATAATGTCGCTAAAATCATGAAAATACAGAATATCGGGAGGTACCGTTATATGGGGGCTATACTAAATCGTGGACCAACATGACCCATTTACGAACAAAACCTGCCTACTGGTAAATTATGTATATATGTGCATTTAAGTTTAGCCTTCTGTCTCAATTCGTTCTAAAGATAGCTTGAATACCACAGATAGACGGACATCGCTAGATCATCTTAGAATTTTACGCTGATCCAGAATATATCTACTTTGTAGGGTCTATTGTAAATATTTACAAACCGACTGACAAAGCTAATATATCCTCTATAGAATGGTGGAAGGTATAAAAATGTTATGATGACCAAGAATTGATATGCGCTACAGTGTCACATATTAGTATTTCGAAGCTTATAAAAAATATAACATACGAAAACTTTTGATAATTATGTTATAATATGGTTATTATGCAAAACTTTTTTTATTGTCCAAACTTTGCTCCAGGATATAAGTGAAAATAAAATGTCGCTTAATATAATTGTTGTGCGAAAATGAAAACATAAGTTAAAATCATGCATCGTAGTCTATTTTCTAGACATACATTAAAATATTTGTTATATTTTGCTGTAGTAAACCCATTGTGCTGCATTTATATGTATTTGATTAGCTATGATTACAAAAACAAATATTTAATGGATTTAGAGTTTTACCATCACACTTTCGTGTATATGTGTGAGATTCACAATTTTGTTTTGTAATTTTTATTTTTTCCCCAAAATACATATTTGAATAGATTTAAAATTGTATTTAGTGAGCTGTGTGGATTTTCATTAAATTATTGCATACCAACAACGTGTATTCAGTCAACTGTGCGGTACGCGTATTCATGTGAGTGTGTGTATTTGGCAATCAACTATGCCACACACACACACACATATAATTACCTTATTTAATAAATCAATTGGAAATGAAATTTATGAATGAATAACAAAATTCACATTTGTTTTCAAATATATGAATTGATTTTTATAATGAAATTGTACTGATGTTTGCATATTTTACAAAAAGAAAGGTAAACACAAGGTTAGAGGATCTCTATACTTCTATCACAGATATGTGATATATGTGATGTTTTTTTTTTAATTAAAAAAACTTTCATATGTAATTATAAATGTTGTAATAACATTTCAGATTTGAGAATTTCATTTACCTTTTGCCAGCACAATCCCATGTGATAAGGGTTGGACATAATTATAATCCACATGAAAGCTATGATACAAACATGCATCCACATTCATTGTAATTTGAGCAGAATGAATAGTTCTCAAGTTTTTTGCTTTATTTGATTGCATCAAAACGAAAATCCCTTACAAAAATTATTATTGATTCAAAGATATTACCCTCACTTAACCCATATCAGGTCCATATTTACCAAACCATAAAAGTACACACACCGTCACATGTATACATGAGTATTATTAATTATATTTTACCTCTCACCGTAGCGCCGTATGAAACTCAGGTACATATATATTCGTATATATATATCCTGCTCTTGGCCTTTCCCTTTATAATAAAACTAATTGAAAGTAAATATTTTACAAATGTTTGTTTGTAGTACTATAACAGTGTATGTATATACAAACGTGTGTGTATTTGTATGCAACTTAACTACCATAAAAAGAGCAATATCGACTGTCATATTTCTTTTTATACCCTACACCACATAGTGGTAAGGGTATTATGTCTTTGTGCATTTGTTTGTAACAGGGAGAAGGAAACGAGATAGACCCATAGTTACTTTTGAGAACCTTCATAGAATCACTTTCTGAGTCGATTTATGCATGTCCGTCTGTCCGTCCGTCCGTCCGTCCGTCTGTCCATGTATTCTTGTGAACAAAATGCAGGTCGCATTTATTATCCGATTGAGATAAAATTTTCCAAACAATATTTTTTTGGCCCAAGGACGAACCCTATTGAAATTGGTGAGAATTGGATGAAATTTAGATATAGCTCCCATATATATCTTCATCCGATTTCGGGTTAAATGTGCACCAAATATCCACTATCAGTCCAAATTACCTGAATTTTGGCACACCCAACCGAGTTCGGCCTAGAAGCAAGTATATCAAATTTGGAGAAAATCGGTTCAGATATAGCTATAGCTCCCATATATATCTTTCATCCGATTTGATCTTTAAGTCCCTCGCATTCCTACTATGCACTCCACAACCGGATATTTGGTACGAGGTATTAGATGGAGCACAGAAATAGCTGTTTTAAATTTTATTGAAATCGGTTCAGATTTGGATATAGCTCCCATATATATCTTCATCCGATTTCGGGTTAATTGACCACCAAATGACCAATATCAGCCCAAATGGCCCGAATTTTGGCACATGTGACCGAGATTAGCCTTAAAGCAAATACAACAAATTTGGAGAAAATCGGTTCAGAAACATCTATAGCTCCCATATATATCATCATCCGATTTCGGGTTAAATGTGCACCAGATGTCCACTATCAGTCCAAATTACCTAAATTTTGGCACACCCAACCGAGTTCGGCCTAGAAGCAAGTATATCAAATTTGGAGAAAATCGGTTCAGATATAGCTATAGCTCCCATATATATCTTTCATCCGATTTGGTGTTTAAGCCTCTCACATTCGTAATATGCACTCCACAAGAATGATATTTGGTACCAGATATAAGATGCAGCCCAGAAATAGATGTTTGTAATTTTATCGAAATCGGTTCAGATTTGGATATAGCTCCCATATATATCTTCATCCGATTTCGGGCTAATTGTGCACCAAATGGCCGATATAAGTCCAAATGGACTGATTTTAGTACATCGGACCAAATTCAGCCTAGAAGCAAGTATATCAAATTTAGTGAAAATCGGTTCAGATATAAATATAGCAACCATATATATGTTTCATCCGATTTAGAATTTTAGTCCCATACATTCGTAATATTCACTCCACAACCGTGATATTTGGTACCAGGTATTAGATGGAGCACAGGAATAGCTGTTTTAAATTTTATCGAAAT